CATTTCAGCTTCCTAAAACCGATTTTTTTTTGTTGTTGTTTCAGTAACAAATCAGTGGAGCAGCATTGGGCAGAAATCGCGCTGCAGACTCTCTTCTCCATTCCTGGAGAAGCCTCAGGTGTTCTGCGGGACCTGCGGTCCTGCTGGCAAGAGGCTGATGCCTCAAAATTAGTCAGAAGATGGGTGGATGGGTCAGTCTTTTGAATTATACACACCTCTACATGGTACTATATATTATCACATATATATTATATTATTATCTGTTTTGTACCTAAATTGCATCTACAATGTAGATGTATGTGTCTATTTAAACAATTAAATATTTACAGCACAGCTGCATCTGCTCATGTCCACCAAGAAAAGAGAGAGCTCCTCTTTTTATAGAGAAGCTGTCTCTGCTGCCTTATCAATTACTGAGCTTAAGCATTTAACATAATTGTTCTCTGCTCTACAGGAGAACATAAATCCCAGACAAATGCTTTTCCCCAGGCAAAGAAGGAGGACTGYGGACTTCTTGGAGGGATGTTCAACCTGCAAACTTGTTTTCTCCTCCTCTGAGTGCTGCAGTTAAGATCACTAAATTGATGCCTGAGCAGTTTGTCTAGGAGAARAGCAAGAGAGACTTAGAACAGAATGAACAGTCGGTGTGATATAAAGACAGATAAAATTAACTGTATGAGGATGGATAAGAAAAAACAAATAGATTTGGGGTTGTTTTCACTGTCTGAGGACTTAATAAAATGGCATATCCTTTTATGACCAGGTGACTGCCTAGTACTGTGTGTGGATGTAGTATACCTGGACTGCAGCAAAGCCTTCAGTACTGTCTCCCACAGCATTCTCCTGGAGAAGCTGGCAGCACATCACATGGAGCCCTCTCTTCCCTGGGTTRAGAGCTGCCTGGATGGCTGASCCCAGAGAGKGATGGTGAATGGTGCCACGTTCAGTTGGTGACTGACTGGTCACYAGTGGGGTTCCCCAGGCCTCAGTATTGGCCAAGTCCTGTTTAATATMTTTTATTAATGACCTTGACGTGGGGCTCAAGAGCACCCTCAGTAAGTTTGCAGAGGACACCAAGTCAGGCAGGAGTGTTGATGGAGAGCAKGAAGGCTCTGCAGAGGGATCTGGACAGGCTGGATYGATGGCTGAGGCAAACAATGTGAGGTCAATAAGGTGAAATGACAGGTCCTACACTTCAGCCACAACAACCCCTGGAGAGCTCCAGGCAGGGGCAGAGTGGCTGGAAAGGATCCCAGGGGAAAGAACCTGGAGGTTTTGGTTGACAGTGGGTAAACACGAGCCCAGGTGGGCAAGAAGCCCAGGGGTATCCTGGTCTGAATCAGGAGCAGGGCAGGGATTGTCCCCCTGTGCTCAGCACTGGTGAGAYCACTCCTCAAGTGCTGTGTGCAGTTCTGGGCCCCTCAGTTCAGGAAGGACATTGAGGTGCTGGAGGTGTTTAGGGAACCTTATCAGTCTCTGCAAGTAGCTGAAAGGAGGCTGTACCAAGGAGGGGTTTGGCTTCTTCTCCCAGGACAGGACAAGAGGAAATGGCCTCAAACCAMCAGGGCAGGTTCAGGTTGGACATCAGGAGGAATTTCTTCATGGCAGAGATTTCAAATCCTGGTATGGTCTGCCCAGGGAAGTRGTGGGGTCACCATCCCTGAAGTGTTCAAGGAATGATTTGACATARCATTTGGTGCTATGGTTTAGTAGACAAGGTGGTGTTTAGTCAAAGGCTGAGCTTGATAATCTTGGAGTTATTTTCCAACTTTAATGGTTCTATGATCAGTCTGTGCCAAAGACTCCATTTTGATGGCAATGTGAGGTGTGTTCTCCTCGCTGATGCTGACTTTCCTTCTGCCTCTTCACACCTCTTACTRAGGGTAGAAAAGCCTCTTCCCACAGTCTGCATTTGGCATTCTTTCCCGTTCTCTCTCTRTCTTTGTGCAAATGTCTGTAAAACTATTCCATCTTTTGCTAACGAGCTGGCTCCCGAACCATTTCCTCAAAATCATTTTGCTGCTCTAATGCTCTTTCACACAATAATAGTGTGTAATCTTCTTGAAGTAGTTCTGTGTTTCTGTGTGAATCGCACCCCTCCTGTGACCCACAGCAACCTCGCCCCTCACTGAGACAGACACTTGTGCAGTGTTCTGCAATGCTCTCTAGCTCTTGGCACTGCCTTTCCTATGTAGAGAGCTAATAATGACCTTGCATCCAAATCCTAATTGCTGTACCTCACTTTCACTGTTCAGATCCATACTGGAATCCCTTGCAGGCGTAAGAAAATCTCAGCAGTCTGTGATTTTTGCATTGCAAACTTTCAKCTATAGCCTAGGATTATAGTTCATATCTGCAAATGAGTGCGAGGAGGAGGAGGGAAAATGATTCAGAACAGGCTCTTTTAAAAAACGTTTTCTTATGTTACAAATGTTATGGGAGAATTTGATCCAGTTGCTTGAATTAGTTCAAGCATGGGGTGGGGGGTTCTCATGTTCACTGGACTCCATCCCTGCCTGCACTGCATCACACCTCTGTACTTTTTTGAGATCAAGGAGGGTGCTGTCACATCCCACCTGTCTTATCCCCACCATTCCTGCAGAGGCATTTCCCTGCACCAGGCTCCCAGGACACCTCACTGCTCRGCACAGCTAAGCCTCTCCAGGGACCTGTATTGGTACAAGGTTCAAAAAGAGGGGAGTTCCTGAGACTGTTCCCCACTGCACGTCCTGGCATTCCCCATGGCTGCAGAGCAGAAGGACACATACCCAGGAGGTCACAGGCTGTTTACACGTGCACCTTGTGCCACTCAAAGTCTGAACTGGTTGCTCTGGTTCAACTGCCCTGACACAATGACCTCTTTGCACAGGTAATGCCTCCAGCCACCTGCCCCACACGTACTCTTCATGGGCAGCCCATGGCGTGTGGTTGTGCTCCTTTTCACAGTGGATGTTAGTAACCTAACACATTAACCTCCCAGACTCTCTGTAATAAAGAAGAAAATACTTCTGGCTAACCACCTGTGCCAGTTCCAGACCACAGCACAGGGCACCTCCTGTTTGCCAGCCTTTCCTTTCAGTTGTGGATGCCTTTTGGTTGCCCACCATTCAGGATGAGTGCCAAGTATCAGAGGGCCAGCTCCCAGTGAGCTCCTCTTAGTCTGCTGAGTGCTGGTCACACTGATCAGATTAGGGAACAGAAATTAAACCATTTGAATGAATGTTATTGGTATAGATAATAAAACCCTGGAACATTATGGGTGTTATACTCATCAGTCATCTGAAATTTCCAGCCTTAAAAAAGCATGAGAARTTTTGACTCTTTTTGTGTCACCAAAAACCTACAAAGCAAGTATTCCTTGCTGGGCTATTTGCAGAACACTGTGGGCTGCTTYGTAGGAGTTCTCAAGCCAACTCTCTTGACATTTTTGATTAACTGGTTGGGACAAAAACAATGTACAGAGCCCATAATTAAATTAATTTATTACTACTTTTTAAAATACAAATATTGCAGTTTGCTATTTCTGCATCATAGGCGGTAGAAAGCTGGCGTCTCTGTATAACCATGTGACTSAAGAGAGTTACCTTTCCTGTGAAGAAGTTTCCCAAACTCAATTTATCATTATTACAGTGAAGTAAATTTCATAGTGAACATGGGGGCTTTTCCCAYCCCCTCAGAGGAGGAAGGTGAAGGTTACATGACTGTAATTATCCACACCACACAAAATCAGGAAATAAAGTGGGAGATCAAGCACAGTATTTAGACAAAACAAAGTCATTTCTACTGACCAAAACTGAAGAAAACAGCATCCTAGATCTTGCTTTTTCCTGCACAATATTCTCAGTACCACAAGGAACATAAGATACCAGGCTGGAAGCAAAAGAGGAAGAAAAGGGATTGTGGAGGATAGTCCCAGTCAGACAGGATGCTGCTGCTTTGTAGAAAGGTGAAGCTTAGCTGCTAATGACTACAGATGGGACTTTTACCTCAAGGAAAACTTATTTTCCTCCAAAATGAAATCAGGGTTCCCAGAATAAATAGGATGACAAAGCCCGTGATTTCCCACTTTTCTTGTTGATATTTTCATGTGAAACAAAGACCAGACATTGTGAGGGAAAATAGCTCTTCCTTTGTTCCATGGAGAAATGCAGTAACTTTCCATAGATAAACAATTGAGCAAAAGTCTGTGAAGGGGTGGGGTGGGGGATTATTTACAGATAAAAGGCATTTTCTCTTAAATAAGAAGGATTCAGCTCTAACTCAAGGACCTCAGTAACCAGCTCAGAAGATGTTTCTTAACAGCAACCATTCAAACACAGTTTTCTGCACATCTCGGAGTTTGTATTTATTAAATACTGCTTGTTTCACACAAATGATGCAAAGACTCATCCCAAGCATCCCCTGTTTTTTAGATGATACCAGCAAACTTGGTGGGATTTTAGCAGGACAATGCAAAYCTGGCATGAGATTCAGTGTGGTAAGAGACTCAAAAACTCATAGAATGGTTTGGGTTGGAAGAGACCTTAAAGCTCCCAGCCTYCCTGCCATGGGCAGGGACACTTTCCACTATCCCAGGGCCAGCCTGGCCTTGGACACTGCCAGGGAYGGGGCAGCCACAGCTTCTCTGGCCAACCTGTGCCAGRGCCTCACCAACCTCTCACGAAGAAGTTTTCTTCTATAGCTGATCTAAATCTATCCTCTGCTGCACTTTAGCACTAAGAAACAGGTAAATTTGTGTTTCTGTATGGAAATGGACCTACAGCTCCTATTAACTTCCAGTTTAGAAAGGTAGCACTTCTGTAGAAACACCTTATGAGCTCCATATATTGTAGTATTAGCAATGATCGTTTAATATAGTGCTTGGTGGTGTTGATGCTAAAAGACTAGCTATGATCAATTTGATTTCTAGTAATCCCCAGCACACACTGTGRGAAATGTATCATTATCAATAAGCTGCCTCCTCTGGCCTGTTTTGAAAACCCTCAAGGAGTTCTGTTTATCTGTACCACCTGATTTGAAGATCAAGGATTTTCTCAGGCCTGAAGGTTGGAGCCATCCTCATGAAGCCTTGATCTTGCTGCTGTACTCTTGTGGCAGGTGGGATATCTCTTGCACTCTGTGTCTGCCTATGAACTCAAAGGGGCTGTGATAGCATTTATTCCTCTCCACTTTCATTGCCTATACATGTGGTCACAACGTGAATGGGTAAAGCAGCTCCTGCTGATCTCCCCACCATCAGAACTGTGCTGCTGCCGTGCCACCATCCATGCATGGAGGGGCATTTCCCCTGCTCTCCTCGGGACAAAGAGATTCCAGGGACACATTTGTGCCTCTCCAGTCCTTTATGCTCTCTGTCCCATGTCTTCACCTGTAAAAAATCCACAGCTCMTCTTAAATTCACTGTGGTTTTAGCAGGTACAAATATTCCACGAAGTTTAAAGTCCTTGCAGGAGCATCCAGCACTATAAYACATGTTTAATTACAGAGCTATTAGGAATGATTTGCATGACAATTAGCAGTTAGAGGAGTCACCATATCCAAGTCACTTCTCTTGAAGCAGTTTTTATAAACCTTTTGAAATCAGCAGGGTTTCTCTTGAATTGTTTTTARAAATAGTTTGCTTTTTGAAATAACAAGGTGTTTAAAAATAACTGTGAGCTTTTGTACAGTGCTCTGCTGTCACAGAGATCTGCCCCACACTGGTGGCACACTGCTGGACAGAGACACAGAACTCCAGCTGCAGGAGGTCTGAGCAGCACAGCTCAGAACCGGGAGCAGAGCTGGCTCTTAATCTGTTGCAATGTCTCACAGTTTTTGTGCTGTGAACCTTTGCATCTGACCTGCAGCTTACAGAAACCAGCAGTTGTTTGGGACTCAGCTTTTGTGAGCCTTGTCTTGTTACTCTGKGCACTTTATTGACAGGAAATACAGCTCTTAATGAATCAAAGTCAACCTTTTCTCCAAAAGTACCTGGCATTACAGCATTTAGGCATGTGCTAAACAAGCATTTTACATTGCCTTAAATCAAGACTCACAAAGCTGATTGTGAAGTTAAAAAAGAAAAAAAAGGGAACTTTTAATTCTTTTTATCTGTTTATTTTTGCTTCTTTGTGATATATAAAGGCAGCCTGGAAAGTTAACTCTGCTTCKGTATTACCTGTTCTTCTTGCATCTGTACACTAGAAATACCAGATTTAGCTTCCCCATTTTTGCTGAAAGAGCCAGGGAGRACTGGAGAACCTTTGGGAACTGGCCAAAGAAATAAGATGATAAAGTGAATCTCTGGTCTGCAGGAACATTTCACTCACAAGGGATAAATGAATAAAAGGTTCAGCAGGCTTGGCTGCTCAGGCTTGGCTCCAGGTGCCAGGGAGCAGCAGGACAGCTTTGCTGTCCCTGGCAGCATTAAGGGCTGTGGCTGTGACAGGAAAAAGGTTGGGGGTGGTTTTGGTAATTTTTTGGTGAAAATAAATTAACAGATGGTGTTCAGCAAAGACCTTTTTAGAGAAGTAAAATGTATTTCAAAAGCTGTCTTTATCCACAACRTGGATTAACAGAATTAAGTTGGCTGTAGGCAGTCTGCTCAGGAAAGAGAGAAATGGCTTCTTTGACCTGCACTAGATCTATCATATTTCAAAAAGCGAATCATTTGGATTACACCATTTCAGAAAATGCCTTGAGATTGCTTAAAGAGGGAACACAGCCTTCTTCCTAATCTCTGATCCCTCCARCCCTTGCCCTCTCCCTTCAATTACCCACATCTAAGTTTATATCCTGTATTATTTCTCCAGCCCTTCCGGGATGAACAGTGCTTCCCAGAGCTCCTGCAGCACTGTGCAGGTGGAACCCGAGGAGGCCTAGGAAGAATCAAAGATGTGGAGATGTAAAATACGGACACCTGCTGTAACTCAGAGACTGCCCTGGGACTGGTGTGYGCACTGAGCGAGCAGCAGTCCTGAGGATGGGCTTTGAGCAGCTCAGCTGGGCAGATCCTGCCTGAGAGCAAGGGACAGGGGCTCTGTGAGTCCCCAAAGCTGCTGGGGGATTTCTGCTGGGCTCTCAGAACTTGCCCAGTAACTGCTCTATTTTTGTACAYACACCGTTTTTCTTTGACTCCTGTGTGTAGTGGCAAGAAGAATTCTCTTCTTGAGAGGCTCAAAATTATCCTCATGAGTCCTTTCCTTGCAAAGAGTGAGCATTGTGGGCAGAAGTATTTGATCTCCTTGACCAAACTCAGCTCTCCAAATCTGAAGAGTGAATGGCTCCAAGAGAGAGGGATGAGGAGTACAGATGAGGACATGGCAGGGACAGAGGGGAACGCCTCAGACAAAACCAGGGCAACAGAGAGATTAGAAGCGCGGATCTGGTCTASTGACCCAGCAGCATGAGCGAGCGAGAGCACACGTGGCTCTGGTGAGCTGTTCCTGGGTAGCTGCACTGCAGCAGAGGGCACCAGAAAGCAACAGAAACCGCTCCGTGCTAACAGCTCGTGAAATACCAATGCCTGCGTTACASAGAGCGGCGGTGGCCTTGGCTCTGTGCCCTAGGTGGGAAGGAGCGATGAAGAAAGACTCGACAGCCCTCTGTTGCATACTTTAAATTATCATGAACACGGGCAGCRTTAATGGCCGTGAGCTCTCGTGTCCCGGCTCAAACCCACGCTGTGGCCGCCACTTTGGTGCGGCTCCCGCGTGTGACAGAGGCACCTCGGCACAGACGCACTGCTGCCCTGCGGTGTGTGATGTCCCTCCAGCACGGCGAACGCTGGGGACCT